AAGAGCAGCTCCGTGCCCGTGGCCGCTTCCGCAGGGCAGCACAGGTACCTGCAGCCATCCCCTCCTGGGCTGGGCCTGCTGTCACTGCTCAGCCCAGCACCACTGTCAGAACCCTCCAGGGGACATCCCTCTCTTCCTTTCCTTCCTCCTGTAGCTGGTTTGCAGATTCATCAGGTGCATTTGGCGTGAAGAGACCACTTTCATGGCCACTGGGGACACGGCAAACTCGGACCTCTTCAATGCCCAGACCAGCGCTGCCCTGTTGGATTTGCTTGTGGAGAACGGTGTCTACAAAGGGAAGCAAGTAAGCAGCCTGTGGCCAGGGCTCCAGTGCCCCAGGGATGCTGTGGCCCCTCACGCCGGCTGCGCTGGGCCCCCTCAGCCTTTGAGACCAGCAGAGTGTGGTGGCAAGGGGAGCACTTCTTGGGGGAAGCTGGGCAAGTTGCTGGCTCTGGCAGCTCTCCAACTGTTCCCCGTGTCCCCTCCAAGTGCCAGCCATAGTCAGGTGCATCCACCAGTGGCTCACGTCCAATGTGTCTGCTGAGCACGGGCTGGACAAGACTCTTGTCCTTCTGACCGAGGCACACCCCATGGATGTTGCAGTGACCCTGCTGCGCTCTGCCCCAGCCTGTGACAGGTATGGGGCCCACCTGCCTTGAGGGCTCACCTGCCTTTAGACCCCATCCCCCTGCACAGCCTGTCCCAAATGGTGTGCCAGAGAGATGGAGACTTCCAGGACACTCCAGCTCCTCTCTTTGCCAGCTTTGGCATGTCAGCCCCCAATCCTGAGGCCAGCTTGCCTCCCTGCCACACAAGGCACTGTGGCTCTGTCACCTGGGCCCTGCACATGCCCAGGCCACAGCGCTGTGTCCCAGACCCCCCTGAGCCAGAGTTCTGACTCCACAGAGCTGCTCGCACCATGTGGAGGATGCTCATCTCCTCCAGAGGGACTAAGGAGCCGGTGCTGCAGATCCTCTTCCGTGCGCTGGAATTCTGGCCAGCGCACAGGACACGCACCTCTGATGGGGATGAGAGCGATGTCTTTGCCCTGGCTGTGAGTTTATTGATCTGGCCTCTGCTCACCCCCAGCTTGCCTCTGGGATGCCTTTTCATCCTCCCTCACCACTGCTTCTCCCTGCCCCAGGCACTGAGCTGCAACCCTGGCTTAGGGGCAGGTTCAGGGCCACCAGGCCGGGGGATCCCCCTGTGCCTCACCTGGCCTCTCCCTGCCACGCTGGGTCCCTGCCACATGGACATCTGGGCCCTGAGAGCTGTCTCTGGGTGCTTTGTCTTTGGCAGGCAACTGTGGCACTCTGGGAGATCCTCCAGCTGCACTGGTGCCCAGGGGGAGTGAAGAACAATTTCCCCCGCCTCCTTCTGACTCTGCTCTTCCAAGTTTTCATCAGCACAGAGGAGATGTCAGAGGAGGTCGAGACCTTCTGGGGGCAATGCCGGCAGCAGCGCAGCCTTCCCCCCAACCCCAACAGGTGCTCCATCCCAGTCCTCTCTCCCTGCCACGCCCTCGGGGCTGGGGCCAGGGCTCTGCACCTGACCTGGGCTGTGCTCTGCACACAGGTTTGCAGTGCAGACCGTGAAGGCCCTGCTGCGCCAGCTGCTGGATGAGGACATGTTGATGGTGATGGATCGCAAGTGTGGCTGGGACACGCTCCTCAAGGCTGACACCCACCACTATGCAGTGGGTCTGCTGGCCAGGTGAGAGCCCTTTCTCCCCACTGCCCCCGTCATTTCTGCCCTGTGCACAGGCCACCCCACACAGTGCCCGTGCTGCTGGGCCAGAGGGCCTTGTCAGCCAGGGATGGCTGAGCAGAGTGGCAAAGGCGGAGAGGGGCGGCTGCACAGGAGGAGCCACCTCCCAAAGCGCCTATGTCCCCTCCCGGGCTGCTGGCCAAAGACCAGGCCTGTGTGAGTCAGTCCCAGGAGAGCTTTGCCCACCTGGCTCAGGGTCTGTAGCGCCTTTATTCCCCCTTGCAGGGAGCTGCGCCGTGTCTCCCGCTCCTTCTGCCGCAGCATCGCCATCAGCCTGCTCCCACGGCTCAGCAGGGAAGAGCCCCTGTGGGAACTGCCTGCCCTGGCGTTCCTGGTGGAGGTGAGCCTGATGGCGAGCGCTGCCTGGCCCAGCTGCCTCCCCCTCTCTGCCCTCTCACAGCCGCAGCCGCCTGGGATGGTGCCTGCACCCTGTGCTGCTGCCTGGGCCCAGCCCCGGGTGCGTCCGGGCTCCTGCCGGCCGGGCACCCCGTCACTGGTCCCTGCCTTTCAGGTGCTGCACTGCCTGAACCCCAGACAATGTGGGCTCAGCGTCCTGCAGATTATTTCAAGGCGCCTGCGGAGTGAGTGCCCCGAGAGGTGTCGCCTGGCGCTCCGAGGCCTGGTGGTGATCAGCAAGGCTCCCGCAATGGTGAGCAGGGGGCAGGGGCTTAAGCCGGGCCGGCAGCGTGCGGCTGTGCAAGGCAGTAGCTTGGCCTTGGCTGGCCTTTGGCAGCTGTGCCAGCTGCTCCCAGCTCTCCTCCTCCCCGTTCAGCTGCCCGACTCCTTTGGGACGCGCCTTTGACCTCTGGGCTCCACGGCAGCAGTGTGGGGCTGCACCACAGCATTGTGTTCCACACAGGCTAAGAGCATCTGGAGCCTGAATGAAAGCCTCCTGGAGCTACTGCAGGATGCAGACAGAGACGTGGTTTAGATGACCCTCTCTGCGTTCATCAACATGCTCCACTTGAAGACCATCCAAATATCCAGCCCCACTGCCCTGAAGTTGCTTGAGGCGCTGCGGCCACTCTTTGACAACGTAAGGCTCTGTGCCCCTCATCGTGGGCACTGAGTGCTGCCAGGAAACTTTGGGCCCAGTGTCTTTTAAGGCCTGTGCCCCGGTGGGCCTGGAGAAGCCAGGGCTGAGGTCTTTTGCTCTTCCTTTGCAGCAGGAGCACAGCCAGCTGCAGCAGCTCTCCATGGTCCTCTTCCGGGAGGTGATGGAGGCAACAGAGAGGAGCAAGAGCCTAAAGCCACACGTCTACCTGAGGCTGGTGCCATTCTACTTCAACTGGCACGATGAGAACCAGCGTGTGGCAGAGGTGAGGACTCGTGGGCTCTGGTGTCCCCATGGCAGGAGGCTGCTGTGCCTCCTGCCCTGGCCCATAGTCGCCTGCAGCCTCCTCCTGGCCTTGGTGCAGGGATGCAGGTGCTGTGCCCTGGGCTGCAGTGCCATGGCCCGCTCTCTGTTGCTCTGCAGGCCTCTCGGGAAGCACTGTTTGGTGCAGCCAGGTTCCTGAAGTGGAGGGATCTTGAGCACCTGGTGACCATGGAGCAGCCATGGAAGTTTGGCGAGTGCCTGGTAAGGACGGCCCCAAATCCCCAGCCCCTAATGCCCAGCGTGTGGAGCTGGCACGGTGCCTGTGGTCCACACGCTGCTCGCTTCCCTGGGGTGTGCTGGCTCTTTTCCAGGCTCCCCTACCCCCACAGCCAGGCTGCCCTGGAGTCCCGGCTCAGCTGGGCTGTGGGGCAGGGCGGCCCCGCGGCTCCCCGGGAGCACCCAGCCCTCTGCTCCCCCCAAAGCCCGGCCCCAGCGGCTGCTGACCGGGCCTCAGGGCTCTGCGGGCAGGGGAGCCCCGTACTGGGGGCAGGCAGCGCCGGGCCAAGGGGCAGAGCCTGAGCCAAGCCTTCCCTCCGTGCCTTGGCGCTCTTTGCAGCTGGAAAAGGACAGGAGCCGAGTGGGCCAGTATGTGCGCCAGGCCCTGCTGTACCTGGAGAGCCCAGAGGAGCCCCTGCGAAAGCTGGCCATCAAGTTCCTGGGTGAGCCACAAGGCCGGGGTCCCTCCCCACCCCACTGCAGCTCAGCCCCAGCCCCGGCTGCTGCAGCGGCAGCAGGATGCAGCCCAGGGCATGTGGAACCCCGAGTGGCCTGGCGCCTGCTGCCGCCCTGGGCCAGCCCAGCCCTGGGGCGTCCCCATGCGGGGGACCTGTGCCTCTGGGGCCCTGACAGCCTCTGTGTTCCCAGGGATCGCCGCCAGGTCCATGAAGCAGGAGCAGCCAGAGCTGCAGCTCATCTGCCAGGGTGAGGGAAGGCACCTTCCAGCTGATCCCCTTGGGCCCTGCTCCCTCCTGGCCATGGCAAGAACTGGCTGGGATGGCCCTGGCAGGAGGGGCTCCTCACATCCCCACACCCCTGGCCTCTCACCTTGGCTCTCTTCCTTTCTCTTCCAGCCCTTCAAGGCATGACTGATGACAGCCCTGACGTCTCAAACCTGGTGCTCCATATCATCAGAGCTGTACAGAGAGCTCCATTCTTACGATTCTGGTAGTCTCCATTCCTGCCTCTTCCAGCCCGTAGAGGCGTGACAGGTGACATCAGACTCACCATGGCAGGCCTGGAAATTCAACACTGCTACATGCCAAGAGCTGTACAGATGGCTCCCTACTCCAGATTCCAGCGGCTCCAAGACTGACTGTGCAGGGCGTGAAAGACCCGGCCTTTTCCACAGGGCAGTGTCTGTCTGTGCTGCTGCAGCTCTGTGGAGAACTGATGTGGGAAGCTCCATCTCCTGGGGCCACCTGAGCCTGTGGGGAAGATGCCTCTTCCCTGCAAGCACCTCCTTTGAGCCCAGCATGGGAATACAACCAACATGTTATCACAAACAGAGGCCCAGGAGCTTTTTTTTGGTGCCCAGTGTGCACAGGGCCTTGGGGAAGAGGGGAAAAGGGCTCCTTGTGCTCAGCAACACTTGCCCTGCTGTGCAGCGTGCCAGCAAAAGGGCGCAGAAGCCCCTTGGCCTTTGGTGGTTCTGCTGGAGCTTTAAGGCTTGCAGCAGAGTGGAGGGGCAGAGGCTGGAGGTGTGGGGATCCCTGAGGACCTTGTCCTTGGAGATGGCCACAAGCCCTCCCCCAGCCAGGAAGCAGCGTCTGTGTCCTGCCTGTGTGTTGCTGGCTGGATTGCTCCGGGCTCCCAAGTGCCTCTGGAGCGGCTCCTCTGGAGCTCCTTCAGGGCTGCGCCGCTGCCAGGCAGGTTGGCAGGGCTGGGGGAGACCCGCAGGGGAGGTGGCACTGGGAGGCCAGGAAGGGGTGAGGTGCTGCGGAGGCCCTGATGGGACAAGGGAGCGGGAAGCCTTGAGGGGAATCTGGGAGGGGGTGGGTGGCAGAAGGCTGCGAGGGGACAGACTGGGTACAGGCCCCCAGGGTCAGGGTGGAGGGAAAAGCCCCCAGGACTTGGGGGGCAGAGGCCATAGGCAGCCCCCAGGCAGCCACCTCCTTCCCTGCCAGCCGGCTGCTCTGGTGCTTTCCCGAGGCATCTCCCAGCCCTGTGGCAGAAGCCCTGGAGGCCTCAGCAGCAGGGTGGGCACACCCCCAAGGGGGCCAGGCTGGCCTGGCTGGGGACAGGGAGGGCAAGGGGGCCCTGCCGGGGCATGTCTGCCGGGTGCTGCCGGCCAGGGGCAGTGGCACGGGCAGGGCTGGTGGGCAGCCCGGGCCCCCGCGGCTGCCCAGGCCACGGGGCTGTGGCTGACACCCCCCTGAGCCAGAGCTCTGGGCCTGTAGGGGCGTGTCTGAGGTACAGAGGGATGTACCAGGGCAGAGAGGCCCAAGGAGCATGCGCCGAGGTTCACAGCCCCCATTGGGTAAAGGGATCACATGGTTATGGGATATAAAAGAGTGCAGGAAATTCAAATAAGGGCTCTTTGATTCCACCAGCTCCGGAGAGCGTGTAGTTATTCCTTATCATATAAGGGCAGCGTCCACGTGGACGCAACATCTGGCGCCCCAGTGGGACCTAATCTACATTAGATCAGATATTTTAAAACCTGTACCAGGTATTATCGGTAGGATCTCCGGTTATCACTTTAGTTTTACAAAGTGGGAGTCCTTTTACTGAAAAAAACCTAGACGCCTGTAAACGTTGCCTTGGGGGAGTCCAAGGAACGAAATTAGTGAGCTCAAAAAAGATAGGTTAGTGCACAAAAAACGGGAAGAAAGAAGAAAGAAGAAATCGCCAAGAGATCGGAGCGGGCGGGCACCGGAGAAAGCGGAGAGGACCGAAACAACATCGCAGCGGTGAGTGAGCTGAAAGGCAGCCTGCGCGGCTAGGACTGCTCCCCAACCGGCAGCGTGACCGCAGCCCGGACCCCCGAGCCGCGAGCCGTGCTGAAACCGCGGGGAAGCTTCTGCCGCGCCACCGCCAGCCGCCGCAGCTGAAACAGCCACGCGGACCAGCACCGCAGCTGCCCGCACCACCCCAGCCGCACCGCCCGGACCCCCGCATTGGCCATCTGCCTAGCAGAAAGCCTCCCAGCTCCACGCCGCCCGCCGCTGCTGTACGCGCCCGCCTCATCCACCGGCCCCGCGCCCGCCTACAAGCCGCGCGAGGCCGGGGGAACCCCACGCGACCGCGTTCCGCAGCACCCCGACCCTACCTCACCTAGCGAGCCCCGCAGACCCTAAGCCGCCGCCGCGCCGAGGAGAAGGACCGCCGCCGCCGGAGCCGACCCGCCGCAGCCGCCGCCGAGGAGAAATACCCCGCGCCCACCGCCGAGCCGCAAGCTGCCGCGCCGAGAGGGACCGCAGCCGCCGCCGCAGCCGCCGCCACCGCCGAGCCGCGAGAAGCCCCGCCGTTCCAGCCGCGCCGCCGACCGAGCGCGCCGTGCCGGCGCCGCCGCTGAACCGGGGAAACCAGCTGACCAGAACCGGGAGTAGCCAGCCACCACACAAATAAACTTCAGACCACGTGCGTTCAAGTGCCGAGACAAGGTAAAAATGGGAATTTTTTTCTCCACCGCACTTTCACAAAACACAGATGCACTGGCAATACTTCTCAGACCATACAATGTGCAAGCCACACGGGCAGAACTCACGGAGCTTGTACGCTTTACTCAGACAGCTGTCCCCGAACTGCAGCTGGCAAAAGCCCTACACATACCCATATGGGAAGAACTGGGGAAAGTCATAAAGCTCACAGCCGAGGGGGGAGACCCCCAGGCCATCAGAGCTTTCCCAGCGTGCCAGATAATAATGTCTGCACTGCACAGAGTCCACGAGCGCACCACACAAGCGTATAACACCGACACGCACCCCCCGAATAATACTGTTAACAACAGCCGCCCAACTTTTAGGCGTAGGGACACTAACGCCCAAAGTCCGGCGGGGGCGGGAATGGGAAGTGTTCGCGATTTAAGTACGGAGTCAGAAGCCCAGAGCCGGAGGGACACGGGCCGTCGGGAGGGAACGGAGCCTGCGATGCGAGATCCCCGCTCATGGGATAGCCGCACAGGGCTCCGTCACGGCGACCGGGAGGGTAACCCAGCAGATTTGCCCCCCCGTCCCGCGGATGACCGCCGCCCACGTGGGCCTGCATGGGCGCCGCCATCTTGCCCATCAAGCGGCCCGGGAACTGACCCGTCTCTCCCGCCCCCTGCGCCGCCCCGCCCCACCCATAGGCGCGAGGGGGGAGGTAACTCCGCCCCCTTGCCGCCTCCGACACCCGCCCACACCCCCTCACCGGGAACCGAGATAGCCGGAGCCACGGGGGGGGAGGAGTGGGGGGAGGAGGGGGAGGAGCTAGCCATAGTTCCGTCGGGAAGGAGCGAGGTAGCAACTGGGGGAGGGTCGAATGATAGGTGGAGTTTGTGTCGAGAGGAGGCCATACGGGTGGGAGACTTGCAAGTGATTAATGCATGCCCAGTCATCATTGGTCCACGCAATAGCCGCCGGTTCGAACCTGTGCCGCATGAACTAACAAAGGAATTGAGGCAGATAATACGGGAAACCGGCGTGTCTTCATCTAACACCCTGGCATTTCTAGACACGCTAAGCTCTACCTACCTTTTCATGCCACACGATTGGAAGACTATCTTAAAAATAAGTCTTACCAATACACAGTACAACGTGTGGCTGAACGACTTTCGGGAGAATTGCTCTGTGTATGCAAATGACCCACAAGCAGGCGTTACCACACACCAACTAACCGGGGAGGGTAATTATCGGTCGATAGATGCCCAATCTAGGTACAATAAGGAAGTGTACGAGGTGATAGCAAAACACGCTATGAGAGCCATGAGAACACTTCCCACATCCGACCGAGACACTAATTTGTCATTCACACGAATAATGCAAGGCCCGACAGAACCGTACTCCCAATTCTTGGACCGGTTGCAGTCTGCCCTAGATAGGCAGATTGAAAGTGAGGAAGCCAGAGACATACTTTGCAGGAAACTGGCTTTCGAAAACGCGAACCCAGACTGTAAGAGAGCATTGCAGGCTCTTCCTAAACGGGAGAGCTGCAGCATTGCAGAGCTGGTTCGTGCCTGCCAAGGGGTCGGCTCAGTGGGACACCAAACTGACTCATTAGCAGTAGCCTTGAGTGCTCAGCTGAGAGTGCAGGAGGGAGCCAGACCCAGGAGTGGTTGTTACACTTGCGGTGCGCCCGACCACTTCCAAAGAGAGTGTCCCAGGAGACCCATAGAAGCAGCCCCCCGTAGGCGCCCAAAAGCAAGGAGGGTGCCAAAAAATGGGAGACGAGGGGCGTTGTCGCACGCCCCGCTACAACAAACATATGCGACACAAGGAAACAGGCCGGCAATCTGTGCCCCCCCACCCCTGCCAGCGCTTTGTGCCCCTCCACCGCAGCCAGCGCTGGGCTGGATCTATCCAACCGAGACTCTGTCTTCATAACATCCACAGAGGTAGTGCTAATTCCAACTGGGATTTGGGGTCCCCTCAACCCAGGAGTGCATGCACTATTGATTGGAAGGTCCTCCACTACACGAATGGGTTTGTTTGTGCTGCCGGGAGTGATAGACTCAGACTCTCATAGTGAGATTCAGATCATGGCCTGGACCCCTTCACCCCCCTGTTTCATCCCAAAGGGACAGAAAATTGCCCAACTAATCCCCTTCTACAGCGCGTCGCCTGCAGGGGAGGGGGAGCGGGGTTCAGGGGCTTTCGGTAGCACAGGAACACCACAAGTTTACTGGGCAACAGCCATCACAGCCACACAGCCGCTCATGACATGCCAGGTGAATGGGCATCGATTTACAGGCCTTGTGGATTCGGGAGCCGATGTTTCCATCATAAAGGACTCCGAGTGGCCACTTAACTGGCCCACTGTTTGCCCAGCTGCAACCATTCAGGGGGTGGGAGGAACACAAAGGCCCAGACAGAGTGCCCAAGTACTCACTGTCCTGGGCCCGGAAGGACAATCTGCCAAGATAGCTCCTTTTGTTGCCCCCATTCCTCGTACACTGTGGGGAAGGGATGTTCTTGGGCAGTTTGGCACAGTGATGCAAATTCCTCCTGCAAACAGCCAGGTTTTTCAATAGGGGCCATTGGTCAGCCGTCCCAAACACCCATTAAGCTGGTCTGGAAAAGTGAGCAGCCAGTCTGGGTGGACCAATGGCCTATGAAAAAGGAACGGCTTGAACAATTAACAGAGCTTGCAAAGGAGCAACTAGAAGCAGGACATATTGTGCCCACAACTAGCCCCTGGAACACTCCTGTCTTTTGCATTCCCAAGAAAAGTGGGAAATGGAGAATGCTGCAGGACTTAAGGGCAGTAAATGCAGTCATAGAGCCCATGGGAGCATTGCAGCCAGGACTGCCTTCACCCTCTATGCTCCCAGCGGGCTGGCCTTTAATGGTAATTGATTTAAAGGACTGCTTTTTTACCATCTTCCTTCACCCTGAGGATGCGCCAAGGTTTGCTTTTTCCATCCCGGCCTTGAACAATGCACAACCTATGCAAAGGTATCATTGGGTTGTTCTCCCTCAGGGCATGAGTAATAGTCCTACGATTTGTCAGACAGTGGTGTCAAACGCTATTCATCCCATCAGAAAGCGTTTCCCCTCTGCCATCATCTATCACTACATAGATGATATTTTAATTACCACGGCCACAGAAAATGAACTAGAAACTGTTGTTACTGCTCTAAAACATGCTATCCAAGAAGCAGGGTTACAGGTCGCGCAAGAAAAGATCCAGCGATCGCAGCCCTGGACATACCTTGGATGGAGGATCACGCAGCAGGAAATCTCCCCACAGCCACTGCAGCTCGAGGTAAAAAACATTTTAACTTTACACGAGTTGCAAAAACTCTTGGGGGCTATCAACTGGTTGAGGCCTGTTTTAGGCTTAACCACAGAGGAGCTACACCCTTTGTTTGAGCTGCTAAAAGGGGACTCCAATCTAACGTCTAACAGAGCTCTGACTGCAGAGGCCAGACAGGCGTTAGACATTTGTGCCAGGGCAATAGAAAGCAGGCAAGGCAGAAGGAGAAATCCTGAACTGCAAATTTGCCTGGCCCTCGTTCCCAGCAGGTACCAGCCATTTGCAGTTTTGTTCCAGTGGGATCAGACTGAAAAAGACCCACTGCGAATTCTAGAGTGGCTGTTTCTGCCCCACACACCACCTAAAACTGTGTGGACTGCTAATGAGATGTTTGCAAAGCTTGTCATTAAAGGCAGAGCAAGACTGCAGGAACTGGATGGAAGGGACCCTGTTACCATCTACATTCCAGCTACGAAGGACAATTTGGATTGGATGCTGGCTGAGGACATGGGATTCCAAGCTGCCTTGTCAGGCTTTGACGGTGATATTTCCATTCATCTCCCTAAACACAGATTGTGGGCAGAAATAGGTAATTTACCTTTAAAAGCCACAACCAGATGCAAACATGAACCAGTAGAAGGCCTTACGGTCTTCACAGATGCATCTGGGAGAACACGAAAAGCTGCAGTGACTTGGGTAAACCCCGATACCGGACAATGGGAACAGGAGGTGCAGACCAGGAACCAAGGTTCTGTACAGGTTCTGGAACTGGCTGCCATCCGTATTGCCCTGGAGAAATTTTCTGAGCAACCTGTTAATGTTGTTACTGATTCTTGTTATGCTGCAGGTTTAGTATCGCGCCTTGAAAGTTCGTTTCTTCGAGAGGTTTCTAACCCCCATTTGTTGTTTGAAATGCATTCTATTTGGTGTCTTGTTAATCACAGGAGGTTTGATTTCTATATTATGCACATAAGGTCACACACCGACATGCCAGGACCCATAGCTGACGGGAACAGGGAAGCTGACAGAGCAGCAATGTTTAACACCG